GCGTTATCAGATACTGCAAATATTATGTTATCAAATACCCTCCACTCAGTTGTGACATTTTGTATTTGCTCGGCTAAGTTTTTGGCAGTATGTGTCTCACTCATTGGACAGCAAACCAATAAAATATTGTTAAATTAAAAATTTTCACCAACAAAATGTATTGTAATTGCAATGTAACTCACTGTATTGCGAGATGTCCAACAATCGGTGGTAATGCAGAATTTAACACCATTCGCCACTTTTAGTGTCACTTTTTCGACACATGCTTCATATAATGCCGGAATTATCGTTCTTGATACTACATGCCGACTGGGTAGTTCATATGCAGGATTTAGCGCTTTGACGAATTGGACAAATCCGCTGTCCTCGACAATGCTGAAAGGTTGTAAGTCCTTAATGAAGAGCATTGGGAACGCATCATCTATTTCCTTTTTTGCCTTTGCAGAAATCTTCATATTGCGGCAGTTATTTTAGATTGGCGCAGAACAGCCTCTGAAACTATATTTAAATCTCTTAACTGAAATCCGAAGTAAAAATGTTATGTTTTATCGTATTGTACATTTGTTTCCGTAACTTCATGCTGTGCATCTGGATTTTCCGTTTGTTTACTTCCTATTTTTTGCACGGTCGCTGCTCCTGGAAGTTCCACTGTTGGATGCCGATTTTGCATATGCTTTTTTAAATTCGTATTCGACGTTTTATAGGATATATCTTTTTTACAAATTTTGCATTTTGCATGAGTTTCATTAATTGCATCGAAAAATTGCCACATTTCACTTCGTTTTTTATTTATTTTAAAAGACATTTTCACAATAATTCATAAATTTAAAAAAAATCGAATTCAAAATACTTATTTTAAGCATTCGTTCAACGGAATTGAATAAAACACACAATACACATATATATTCACAGTGAAAAATTATTCAAAATCAAAATTTCTGCGTCTAACCACAAACGATCACCACATATATTCACAGTGAATAAAGAAGTATTCAAAATCACAATTTCTACTTTTAACACCAAAAAATCACCACATGCAATTATTGTTCATAAGCTAGTGCCAATTGTAAATTTCACTCTCAGTGAAATATGGCATGAAGAAAAATCACCAATCACTGATATTTTGGGCTATCAATAGCAGTGACTATAAGCGATTTTTCAATCACAGTGATAAAATCACCGGTGGTGAAATATCGCTCATCACTACTAGAGAGTGACAAAAGTGGCTCAGAAAATTCAGCGTCAATATGTATGCAAGCGCAACATAAGCATACATATTTACGCTGGTTTGTAAGCGAAGCTGTTAGAGCGGCAATGGAAGCGGTGACAATCGCTGATCTATCTTTTAATTTTTCGGCACAACTCGGAATTTCAATCAACAACATAATGTTGTAACGCTTTGTCGTCGCGTCGGCCCTTCGACACATTGACTCTTGACAAAACGTGAGCTTCGCCATTGATTGTGCGTGTAAACGGAGATTTCACATGAAGCGTTGAGTTTACATATTTATATAAATAAATACATATGTTGCATGTAGATAAATTTACAAACATTGTGCGTATGCACATATTTGTTTACATGCACATATAATTTTATATGAGCACATCTGAGACTACTTGGTATTTTCAGATGATATCAAAATTTTTAATGTAAATGCACAAATTGTGACTAATTATCATAAACCTATATTAAATGTATGTTTAGGTAATACTACAAAAAACATTAAATAATAAATATTTCACAAGATTTTATAGGATCATTATGAATCTGTAAGTGTCTTTTACATTGGAATTATCATTATTTTCGAGTGCCCTGATGCAATCTTCTGGTGAAACACGCTTATAATTTGTCTGTGATGAAACTCCCTCATCTCAGGCGAGTACCCCTGCGAAAAGTTACGATATCTGAATCGTGAATCTTCTCTATTATACACGTTCTCTGCATATACAGTAACCGGGAAAGTGAGCACTGGATAAGTGAGAGTAATAGCCAGGGCACATTAGCGTACAAAACCTCTGTTAACGAGAAACAGAAACCTCTATAAGAGAGAGTCGTTTTTCCTTCATGGACCTCCGTAAGTTTGAGGTATCTATACCTATATAAGTGACAGTCTTTCTTTATTTATGCATATTATTTATAAGGAAACAATAATACACTAAAAATACATATATACTATATGTACATAAAGGATACACACGTACATTAACAAATTACAAATTTAAAATTTAACATCTGCTATTTATTTACGCGGAGCTTCCTACCATTGTTATACTCTTGCAACCAGTTGCTAAAGGGTATATATCTGTAGGTTGTATGTATCACCCTAAACTAAGCGAGATAGATATTTGATGACCCTATTATGTGCCCTAACTAAACACTAAATTATGATATAAAGCTGTTATTTGGTACTGAGGATCGGAGTAGCAAGAGGCTCCTTTGGGCAAAAATTTTTTAAAATGCGGAAGTGGACCCGCCCTCCAATAAGTTTAATGTATATATCTCCTAAACCACTTAAGCTACAACCAAATTTGCTGAGCACAAATCTTGTAAGAACTTCTAATCACAGTGTGAAAATGGATGGAATCGGGATAACCCTGCTCACTCCCTATATAACGGTACTGTTAAAGACTACTAAAATCGCAATAAATCAATAACTAAATACACCAGAGACTTTTAATTTCACCTCCTTGAGGGTATCAGAGGACTTTAAAGGAACCCGAGTGAAAATTGCAMGAAGGGCGTGGCAGCGCCCAATTTTGGTTAAACCCCATATCTCGTTACCTGACATACAGATTTCGGCAACATTTGTTAGTGACATTTCTATCATATTCTTGTATTACAGTGGGAAAATGAGCGAAACTAGATTTTTTCACTTTCCAGTACACAAATCAAGAAGTAATTAACATAACGCGATAAAATTTTGTGCGAATAATGCCTTATCATTAAAAATTGTTGAAATGTAACAAAACTGTTCAAGGAAAACGGTACCGAATATTTGGATCCTGGTACCTATAGTTGACTTTTGATCGAAAAAATGGGTCAATGCATAAAACATATAATTGAAATTAAAAGATAATTCTTCTCTGTGTGTCAAAAATGGATTGAAACCAATGCTTCCATTAGCTCTCATATATATACCTAATATAACGATTCTAAAGTTTCCAGGTGACTTTGTACTACATATATCAACAAATATGTGAGTTATCTCAATGAAAATATGAGAGCGTGTTTTATTGATAGTACTGTGTCTTGGTGCTTAAAATTAATCAAATTGGGCGAAAACTTGGCCTAACTCCATATAACTAATATCAGAATTTGAAACATCCGGCTGACTTYACTCTAGATTATCATCTTTTAGTACGTGGCATGTTAATAATATGTGGTATTGGGAAAAATAGATAGATAGTACATATAACGATTATCTAATAAAGCGTATGTGTCTGTCAATATAGGGGTTATATATAAAATTGCTTGGATTTCGATGCAATGTTCGGTTGCATCCGAACTTAGCCCTTCCATACTTGTTTTTGTATTGTTTTCTTGCCAATATTGTGCATATTCTATTGCATTATGTATGTACATAATTTATGTTGGGGATATTATGCCCAAAATTGTATCATATTACAAGTAATTTTGTGAGTGATCCACAGTAGAAGGGCAAGAGAGAATAAACAAAGAAAATAAATTTTTTGTGTAATATGTATCTATGGACATAAGTATGTAGTAACATAAGTATTTATAGTATAGTTTTATACAACATTTCAAAATAAACAATACTTCATAATACTGATTTTAACTAATTTAGGATGAATTTAACGATTACACCCAACTCTTTTTTTACACGGTTTCCTTTTACAGGGATTTGAAGTTACACGATTGAAAATAAAATATTTTTTGGAAATTTAATCTAGTACGGTTTCAAAATCACTGTCCTGTAATTATGTTTGTTTTTAACACACTTAGTACCATTGTTGAAATAAATACACATAGTAGTAATTGGGAAATCCACTTATTCGAACTCTTACCTACACATTTTGTTCGTCGCTAACAATTGCGCTTGTTATCAAGTAGCGACGAATAATTATGCAGCTTTGTAAGTAATTTTTCCTTATTCTAATTTTTCTCTTCTTCATTCTCGATTAACAGATTTCTTTTGTTTTTTGCTTAATCTACCAATTTTTCACCTGTATGAATTATGTATTTTAAGTTCTAATACTCAATAAAATGCGATATGAACACACAATTTGTATGCATATCCGTATCTGACATTTTACAGTTTTCAACATTTTTTACACGGTTTTCGAAGTAAATATAGTTCTTTGTTTAATCTTACACGGTTTTCGGATGGCATGGAACGTATCCCCATTTTACCATAGAAAACGCCTCTTTTTTTTACACGGATTTCTGAATCCGTATCTACCGTGTAAAAAAAGAGTTGGGTGTACTTTGAATTTCCTTCAAGAAACAATTGTCGATTAATTGATTCTTCGCAAAACCATGATTGCCAAATACGCATTTTATTGAAAAAATGTATTAAAAATTAATACTAGATTTCTTTAGAGCTGCAAACTAGCACAAAAAATTTACCACGCGAAATTTACTTGACCATTTCTAAAGCGTTATTTTATATGGAGTTTTTACATTTCTTGAGAGGTGCATCCTCAGCTTTAATCTGAAAACTTTGACATTCTGCTTATCTACCGATATACTGCTTAATACCAGTAACCCATTTGGACATAGATATGGACATGTAAAGACATATTACCATCTTCTTTTCGCTCACTGTACGAAATATTATAATATTTCAAGATAAACAAAATGGAAAAGAAGTCACAGTAAACGTAATCTAGACATACGCTAAATTATGCGTCTTTCCATTCCGATTATATAGATATAAAACCTTTGAAATTATTAATAATGTTATAAAAAATATTATCTTACAAAACTGATATATATTCTCTGTTATAAAACCGTATTATATTTTAAATCTTTATTTCAGGATGTGGCATTTATAAATCCGGCAAATGTAGTTTTTGTATACATGCTAATAAGAGAACTGGTAGATGGTGAAGAAACTAAGGAATCGGAGCTGCAGGCATCTGTTCTAACGTGTCTATATTTATCATATTCTTATATGGGCAATGAAATAAGCTACCCATTGAAACCATTCCTAGTCGAAGACTGTAAAGATAAGTTTTGGGAAAGGTAAGTTGTTTTATTCTTTGCGGCACAAGTAGAGTCCATTTGCACATGGTTACATTCAAAGGCTTTTTATGTTCATCTAAAATTGTTAAATGAAAACAAAAGAACTTTAAAAAAGTTCAGATGCCTTTTGCTTTTCCAAGAAATAAAACATATAAGAACCAACCAAATGTAATCATTACATTATTTAGATGGAGATAAGAAAAGGTATATTCGCTATCAAGATATTAATCTATTTCATGTAAAAATTGTATACATAATTTCTTCAAAATATTGGGCCTAAATAAAGGTTAAAATGAAATAGAATAACGAATATCATTACAGTGGATCAATAAAATTTACTTACACCTAGTTCTGGCAAATGACGACACGTTTATTTGTTTATAATGAATACATTTTGTGATTTTTTCCTATCCATTTCAAGATATGTATATTTAACATTAAATATAGCATAAAGCTTAAAATGGTCATAATTTATATCAAAAAAGTTTACGTACACTGATGATTATTTATATAAATGAAAAAAAATTACAATAGTTTTAGTAGTTTTTTTGGCCAACAACTTGTTGCTATTATTGTCCGTAGTCATTGATGTATGCCCCCCTCCATTTCTAGTATTATTTCCGGATATTTTGACCGGAATTTGATTTTGCTGCTATTAACAGAAGATTTAAGCACACTTAAAATTTAAATTATTTTGTTAAAATGATCAGAAACATATGTTTATCCATTTTTGAAATGTATGGAACAGTGCTGGGTTAACATAGACGAATCGCACGTCGTAAAGCATACATAAGTAAGGTTAATAAAAAGAACAGGTCGGCGGTTGCTAAACAATATTTAATATTTAAATAAACAATAATTTAAATAAATTTAAATAAAGTACTGCTTTTGGGAAAACATTGTGTTCACCGACGAATCAAAATTTGATATATCAATATTTGAATAAACAATAATTTAAATAAATTTAAATAAAGTACTGCTTTTGGGAAAACATTGTGTTCACCGACGAATCAAAATTTGATATATATGGTTCAAAAAGATCACGAAAAGTGTGGAGAAGAGTCGCAAGGAAAAAATGTATTGCCACGGTAGGAGTAATGTTATGGTTTGAGGGTATGACTGCTTCTGGAGTTGAATTTTTAATTTTTTCAGTAAAAAAATGGAAAAACATATGTATCTGAACATTTTAAGAAACAAATTTAAACTTTAAGTGCGCTTAAATCGACTGTTAATAGCGGCCACTTCTACTTATAACAAGATAACGACCCAAAACACCCGTCTCATCTTGTACGGGCAGGGTTGTTATGGAATTAAAAATAACTCCTTAGGTCCCGCAATCACTAGACATAAATCCTATTCAAAATACCTGGAACTTTTTGGAAAATTGTATTCGAAAAAATCGAATTTCATCAAAATAACGCCAAAAAGCTGCATCATGGACTTAGTGGGTCAAAATATCTAGAAATAATACTAGAAATTGAGTGGGGAGCATACATCGATGTCTAGGGACAATAATAGCACCAAATTGTAGGCGAAAACCTGCTAAAACTTATGTAATACTTTTGAATAACATAGGTGTATGTAAACTTTTTTGATATAAAATAGGCGCATTTCAGCTTTAACACACTTTTTTTTTATTTGTTTAAAAAAATATTTTTTTTTGATATGTAAACTTTATTGGTCCACTGTATATTCAGCATATGAGACTAGGGAATATACCGTATAAAATAAACCTAAATACCTGAAACATTCAACACCAAAATCCATTATTGTTAGGAATAATGAACCCTCATTGGGTTAGTCAAAACAGTTTTTTTTTTTCTCATAAGATCACTGCCAATAGCTTTATGTGACAACACACACCGAACAAGACGAAACGAAAACGCATGTTCGAGCTTTGACTTGTTCGAAGAGCTGTTGTCGAACTTCTTATGTATTGTCTTACAGTCAACGTACACCAAATGCAACAAAACCGTCTTTGCTACGGCGCAACCCACACCGAATAAAACTGACAAGACAGAAAAACCCGTTTCATTGCTTATAGCTGCACCATTGGGTCTCATGAATAAAAACGAGTAAAAGCGCTGAGTTGAGTCAAGTGAGCAATTGCTCGTAAGTCGAGTTCGATCAAACAGCAACAGCTCTTGCCCAATTTCGTATGCATAAAAATGAGTTCAAACCAATTACAATTACTTGAGCAAACGGAGATCAAACCTCTAAATTTTTTGAAGTGCAAACATGTCGTCAAGTGGTAGCGAATTTGAAGTAGAGCTAAAAAATAGTAATAAATTGCAAAATTTTTAGTAGAAAAAATAAAAGAAAATAAATATTT